TATTGGCCACCATTCCTATTAGTCTTCACAAATATATAAGGGACCTCCTTTACCAGGCACTACAGGAGACTTGACACTGTTCAGGAGACCTTTGGTCTTACCCAGTACAGCTGCATTGTTTTTAACACAGAAGCATGCAAAACGCTTCACATCTGTATGCTCCTTTTATCTAGCATCAGTAGGCCACGAAGGGAACCTGTCATACTGGGAGTGTGATCAGAGCATCGTAACTGTCCCATATATAGTGAAAAAATGTTTCATGGCCTGAGCTTTACCCTGAACAACTCCACACTTAAACATGAACTAAGCCAACAATTCAGACTGGCTCTCCCCTGCAGGGCACGTTCCATGTTGTGAACAGTTGGAAGACGTTGTACTATGAAAAACTGCAGAAGTATTTTAGCTCGTATGACATTCCTAAACATCGATAATTTGCACTGGGTTCTAGAGCACAGCTGAAAAGCCTCAATGTAGGACTGCACATCAGGTAAGCTACTAGTGACCTGCTACAAAGTGAAAGTTGTGCTATTGTCACAAGAAGATATATTGACCCCTGGCTTTGTAAAAAAATCAAGATTTCCTTGCTAAATTTAATGCTCAGATTTTTAGTCTGAAGATCAGAATTCCCTCTCACAAAATCAGAGATATTAGCATCCATGTCAGCTAAATTCCTGTTTGGATGATTGCAGCCTGGAAATCTCAATATTCTGTGGCATGAAACATAGCATGATCGTTATCAAAAACTCTTACTTCTTGGCTGATGTTGACTTTCTTCCTGGGGTTTAATGCAAAGCCTTCTGTTTATCTTCAGATCCATTCCTTTTGTCATCCTCTGAATGGAGGGAATGTTTCTTCCCAGCAGTTTAACAGCCCTATCTGGAAGAGAAAGCAGAGGAAGCAAAGGGGCCAAATCTAATTCAGAACAGTAGAAAGTGAGGAGGCTAGCTTTTAAGTTGTTTGGTTTTTTTTTTTTTTTAAACGCAAGAGCAAGAAGAAAAACAACAGGTACAAACATAATACTATGCAAGAAATGCCACATTTAGGTTGTAACAGAATTTACCAAAGAAATTAAAGCTTCACTCAATATATAATCTATGAATTGAGCTTGCCCATTACCCTTGTGCAGAAAAATGGGAACGCAAGGCTACAGCTGACAAGCAATTTCTAACATACAATTTCAAGTAACTTATCTATTCATATGCTTCAGATATACTTTGGACAGTCCTATTTCAGGGATGGCAGATCAGCGCTCTCCCAATCTTGCCACATCCCAAAATCAATTCACAGACTTGACAGAGTCAAGAAAAAAAGCAGAATCTTGCAGTACACAGAGACATCTGCTTTGTAGCGTATTAGAAAAGGCCAGGGCACGTTATATATGAAAACATACTCTCAAGAAAGAGCTGCTAATTCAGTAATTAATATGATGAAAAAATTCTGAGGGGTAAAAAAATACAAGCAATTTGAAAGGCAAAAGGGCACTTTTAAAATGATAAATTGAGTTCTTTTTTTCTTCTTTATGCTGGCTGAAAACGTCTCTCCCAGGAGAAACAGCTGGCCTTTATTTTCTAGGCATAATACACTCCAGCTCTGGAAAAAAAAAATTAAAAAGTTTTACATCTCTAGGCGAGCCCCCCGACGAAACCAAACCCTTTTCGAGATTTTCAGGGAAGGAAATAGAAGGCACAAACCCATTCCTTCCTTTTTTTTTTTTTCTTTTAAGTCAGCTCGGAGGCTGCCAGGCTTCAAGCCCATCAGTCACGGGCGCTGACGCCTCCCTTCACCCCTGCCCCG